ATCTGCCAAACCTCTGCACAGCACGTCTGCATGGGCCTGGGGAACGGTTAGTGCCCGTGTAGGTGATTACTACCAATGAGGTGGCATTTGTCAAGACTCAGGTGTGCCAACAAAGTCTAGCCATGTTGGCCACCCCTTGCTTCCGGGAACCTTTTCCTCGGTGCCCTAATCATGACGGCTAACTCTAGTTAGCTGCCACCCTGGCTTTCAGGATCAAACTTCCTTCTCCTGCGCCAGCCTAGGGCCCCAGCCTGACAGTCTCAGTGGTCAGCGAACAACAGCCATCTCCCCATGGAAACGGGATTTGCAAGCTGCAACAACCCTACAGATTTTGCTCCCCACCTTCAGACATGGTCTGTAACCATTGAGTACAGACTTGCCCAACAAATCAACGATGGTGCTCTCGGCACTGTCACAGGCTCTTCCTAAGTCACCGCCACGTGTGGTTGAGACCATGGGGGCTTCCCACAGTCCCACGTTTGCTCTTCAGATCCTAAGAACCAGCAGAGATTCCTCCTCTCAGCCTCACGCATTGGTTCCATCTCAGAATTCAGTCCAGAATTCCAGTGCCACATGCTGGACTCTGTCCCTCATGCTCGCCTACAGCAAGAGAGCCTTGTATGTGACAGGGGCCAAAGGCTGCCACCCTGGCTTTCAGGATCAAACTTCCTTCTCCTGCACCGGCCTAGGACCCCAGCCTGACAGTCTGTGCAGGATGTGTCTCATCTTTGAAGCCCTCTGGGAAGCAGTCCCAGACCTCCACCGTCTCTTGGGGCCGTATCTCATATTGGAGTACTATCATTCCGTGTAAGTTTTTTTTTTATTTCTCCTCCTTAACCGCCTTATCTCAGAGGGCAAGGGCTCTTCCTAAGGCAGCCCTGGATCCTACCATGATAAAATGCACGGAGCGACTTCACACGGAACAGATTCAGTTCAAGCTCTACCCATTCCCTGCTTCAACTCCTTCCCTCAGCGCCTGCGTCTCTCTTGAAACTTAAGGCCCTCTCCAGCCATACCAGCTTTGGATTCGATGTCTCAAATTCATGAAGCTTCTCTCATCACTGACTCCCCCCTCCCCCCCTCCCAGGAGACAGCTGCACCCCTCCGGCACCCACATCTCCCTAAACCTTAATAATGACCTCAAGGAAACATCCTCAAAGCACCAGCCCTCTGCACACATTTTGCCTTCCCAGCATAGAGGCCAGGTAAGGAGGGCCTTACCCAAAGGAATCAGCTGGTATAGACGTTCACAAGGCAGGCCCTGCTGGACCCAACCCCCAGAAGAGAAACACCTCAGCATCCTCTCCCCTCTTGGAATGGTCCAGTGGGATCTTGTCAAGAAACGCTCACCCACCCATCTTTTAAAAAGCTGTGGGAGGGGAAGGGCCCCGCCAGGGAGGCTGGTGCCCCCCCCCGCCCTCCCCCCCCCACACACACTCCGTACTCTGGGCACTTCCCTGCCTTCCTTTCCCCTCCTTTGCCTTTCCCTAAATAAAGACTTTGACTGAATTCGGCCGTTTGTTTGCGATTTTGCCTGCTTGAGGACAAACACAGAGAATGTCTGTGCTTGCTACAAGAACACTTATTCCTCCGGGAAATGCCAGTTGTGTGATTCTCTGATTTACAACCTCTTCCCCTGAGAAAGCAAGGACCACACCTGCTTGGCAATCCTTCTCATCAACTGAACTGGGCAAAACCTCATCCCTGCAGAGCCGAGGAGCAAAGGTACAAATGACTGAGGGGTTCAAGGTGAAGATTTGGAACGGAGAGTATAGAAAATTGGGCCTGGCTGCCTTCAAGGTGAAACTGGAAAACTAGGGAGCTCCCTAGACCAGGTCTGCTGATGCTACTCACCATGAGAAATGTCGCCTTCCAAATGCTGGGAAGAAATCAGAGCTACCTTTAATGACTGAATGGTTCCCAAAGTCTAAATACCCCGTGTGTTCACTTGACATTTATTTAGCACCTACTCTAGTCTATATATACTAGGCTTGTGGATGTTGGTACAATAACGCAGACCGATACAGCCACCTACTAGTCTGGAGTGTACTATCTGAGTGGAATGGATTCAAGTTTGAAAAACAAATGTTTCCAGCAATCACATCAGCTGAGAAACCTTACCTTCCTTTACAGCAGTCCTCTCGACAGAGAAATGTCACTATTCAATTCTCTATCAAGGAAGAATTAAACCTAAGGGCGGGTGAGTATCCGGCAGAGATGATTTAGAAATTATAATTGGGCCCAACTGGGCTAGCTTCCACGCAGCCCAGACCAGCGCCTGCCTGTAAACCTTTATTCCCAGGCAGCAGAGACCGAGGTGCAAATTTTGAAAATAAGCACTTAGAAAATGAAAGAGCAACTTGAAAAAAGTAATCATTTCATGTCTGCTAAATCGAATACTAAAAACATAAGCCCGTATTTGTATGCTTTTCCTTTCACTTCCTAGTAATTTGTAGATGATGCATTTTAACGGTTTCGGTCCAGAACGGCTGGAATGAATTTTGAAACTGGCCTTTAACCAGACAGTTGAAAACCAGCAGATTTGGGTTACCTGGCAGCTGGTGAGAATGCAAACCTCAGGGACCCACCCCAGACCCTTCCTGTCAATCAAGCATTTTGAGAACCTCCCTCCCTGCAGTTGGAAGATTCTTTGGCAAATCCAAGTTTGAGAAACACTGGTCAAGATTTCTACGACCCCTTAAGCCCCTGAGAGGTGGCCATTTAATTCAGTTAAAGAGCTGAGGAGCAGAGAGACCTTAGAGTCCAACCCATCACTCATGGATGGGAACACTTAGATCCCCAGAGAACTATCAGGCCCAAGAACAGCGCGGGGCAAAGTTCCATGAGCTGCACATCACGGAGCATGTGCTCCAGCTCACCCGCCCAGCGCTTCCCCCAACATTCTACTGTCTCTCACACATGCCTTCTTTCCCACTGGCCAGAAGCCCCTTTCCAGAAACTGCTTAAGCCCCGTTTCTCAATGTTCCACCTTCCTCTTGTCTTATTGGAAGAGAGAATTCTGGCACTTCAGAAGAGCCAGTGCCAAGTTCACCCCCGTCTCCAGGAAAACTGTGTTCTAGTGGACGGGAATGGCAACTTTATCGAGGGTGCAGGAGGTGCATTTCAGAAGGCAGCTGTAGAGAGCTCAGTCTGATCACTTGGGGACCCACAACCAAGAAGATGGGAAGGGCCATAACAATAAAAGGCTTCTTGAAACCAAAGCCAACACCCATTCCTTATGCTTGAAATCTTCTGAGGCTTTGGGGAGGTAGGGTTGCTTTTGCAATGATCCGAAGAGCTATTATCAAGAAGGAGCTAATTCGTTGCAGACAGTCCCAGACAAGGAATAAATACAAAGATGTTCCAAGAGGTGACTCTTAATTTATAAGAGGGATCACATTCTGCCAATCAGTTCCTGAAGCCACAGTCATCTGAGGAGCCACAGAAAGGCAGTCCACTAATTGAAGGCTTCAGACAGATCCAAGCATTGGCTGGAGAAGTAAAGCTTAATGACCTTTGGGGGGCGGGTTCGGTGCTCTAACACTCCGGCCCTTGGAAAATCAGAGCCAAGTCGGGTGGGCCAAAGGAGCAGCCTTCTGCCCAAGGTAAGATGGATGAAGTCACAGCAATGAAAAAGTCAAGACATCCCTTCCCGGAAGAAGCAGGCTGGCCAAAGGAAAACCGGGGTGGGGGGGTGGGGGGACCTGCCCGCCAGGAACACACCCAAGCTTGCCTCTCTACCCTCCAGCTGCCAGGCCGAGGCGCTTTCAAACCTTTCCCATGGCACCTGGCACCTACACGTGCCTAGCAACGGAGGGCCAAGCTACTGCCCTAGAAGGCTGCCCTGCTTCCTGGTGAGGAGCACAAGCTTTGGAAAGCAGTGAGCTGCGTTCTCATTCCCGACTGGGACATCTCTTTACTCTGCAGCCCTGGACAAGTTCCTTAACCTCTCTGTGCCTGTCCGCACATCAGAAAACCAAGGATGCTCATAGTCACATCTGCTTCAGTGAAAGGCATTGAATAGGCAGCCCGGGATCCACAACCAACCACAGAGCCAATTAGGATCTGGGATGTCCCAATCCCCACCAGGACCAGCCCCAAACGGGCACCCACGTCGGTCCAGAGTCCAGAGTCTGCCACGGTAGGGCCCCTGCTGTTACCCAGAGGCCATTTACACCAGGACCGCCGCTCCCTGCCCAGCCCGCCCCAGTGCCCAAGGCCACCCCTGCCCCCACCAGGTCTCCAGCCATCAGGTGTTTGTCCCCTCCCTCCCAAGGACACGGGCTTGGGATGGGGTGGGGGAAGCCGCCAGTTCAGCTGCAGGGTTGCAGAGGGGGGTGCTGTGGGTTTTCCCAGCAGAAAGCAAGAGAAATCTCCCAAGTTGCTGAGGGAACTCAGGCCAGGCCCAGCAGCGGCTCTGGGGGTGGGCGGCGGGAGGTCCCCACCTGCTCTCCCGAAAGCCCAGATTATATTTACAACTTTGCACTCACTTGCGGCGGGGAGGGGGGTGGGAGGGGGCTTCACTGCCCGCCAGGGAGCCCTGCTGCAGAGAAAGAGTTAAAGGAGGAAGGAAGCTCCAGCCATTAGCCCATCCCCGGGCCTGGGGCTGTCTGCTGAGGCTAGGGGCCCGTCCGTGGCTTCCCGCGGCGGCGGCCAGGGGCCCCCCGGCAATTAGCAAATTTGCAAGGTCAATGCTGCCCGGCTTCCAAAGAGGAACAAAACAATTCCCTGACAATGAAGCAAACGGCACATTCACCACCACAGCTCCAGCCCGCTCCAACCCCCTCTCCCCCACCACCCTCCCCCCCACCCCCGCGCCTCCCCGCCCAGATGCCCCTCGGGGCCGCCACCCACCCGCCCCGCGGGGGACCCCGGGACCCCGGCTGCAGAGCCGCGTCCCGCCCCGGCCGAGCCAAGGAGACCGTGCCCAGGGGAGGGATGCTCGGCTCGGGGGCCGGGAGCCCCGGGCGGGGGAGGGGGCAGGCTGGCAGGCTGCTTACCCGGCGCCGGCCACTGCCCCGGCCAGCCGCGAGCGGTCCCGGGTGCGGGCACTGAACTAGTTGCAGGTTGCGCCCGGCCCGGCGGCTCCGCGGCTCCCTCGGCTCCGGCTCCGGCTGGGCGCGCTCTCGCCGCTCGGCTCAGCCTCCCGCCCTCCCTCGCCCGCGCCCTCCCGCGTTCCTCCGACGCTCTCCGTCTCCCTCCCCACCCCCTCGCCTGGCCTGGCCACTGGCTGGCTGGCGCGGAGCTCGCGGCGCGGGGCTGACCGTTCCTCCGGGGTTCCGCGGGGAAATCCGGGCAGAGCCGAGCCGGCGGGAGGAAGGCCCCGTGGGGACCACAGTGGGGGCTACAGGCGGGGTCGGGGGACCCCCTTCCAGCCCCCGGGCAACACTGTCCACTGCCGAGGACCACGACGGCCCGGGACGATGTACGTGGAAGACACGTTCAACGACCCTCGGGAAGAGGCGGACGTCAACGCCCTGGGAGGCGGGGGCATCGGCCCCCAGGGCGAGGTGGCCCTTGACCCTGTGGAAGAGGGCGAGGTGGCCTTGGGTCTCGTGGAAGAGGTGGTCATCGACCCTGCGGAAGAGGCAGCCGTCGACCCTCAGGGCGAAGTGGCCATCGGCCCTCTGGAAGACGTGGTCATTGACCCTGATGCAGGGGTGGCCCTCGGCCCTCGGGAAGACGTGCTCATCGACCCCGTGGAACGGGTGGTCATTGGCCCTCTGGAAAATGTGATCATCGACCCTGACAGAGGGGTGGTCATCTTACCTCTGGAAGACGTGGTCATCGATCCTGAGGCCATCCACCCTCTGGAAGACATGGTCATCGACCCTGAGGCCATCGACCCTGAGGGAGAGGTGCCCATTGGCACCCTGGAAGATATGGCCACTGACCCTCAGGGCGAGGTGACCATTGTCCCTCAGGAAGACGTGATCATTGACCCTGAGCGACGGGTGGTCATCGGTCCTCTGGAAGACGTGGTTATTGACCCTCAGGGCGAGGTGGCCATCGGCCCTCTGGAAGATGTGGTCATCGACCCTGACAGAAGGGTGGCTATTGGGCCTCTGGAAGACGTGGTCATTGACCCTGATGGAGGGGTGGCCATTGGCCCTCTGGAAAACCTGATCATCGACCCTGAGGAAGGCTTAGTCATCTACCCTCTGGAAGACATGGTCATCGACCCTGAGGGAAGGGTGGCCATTGGCCATCTGGAAGATGTGGTCATCAACCCCCTCGAAGGGGTGGCTATCGGTCCTCCAGAAGAGGCAGTCATTGACCGCCAGGGAGAGCTGGTCATTGGCCCTCAGCAAGAGGTGGTCATCGACCCCCAAGGAGGGCCGGCCATCAGCCCTCAGCAAGAGGTGGTCACTGACCCCCGGGGAGGGTCGGCCATCAGCCCTCTGGAACCTGCAGTCATTGAGCCCCAGGGACTCGTAGCGACCGGCCCTCAGCAGGAGGTGTTCAACAATCCCCCAGGAGGGCTGCCCATCCGCCCTCTGGAACAGGCGGTCATCAACCCTCAGGGACCTGTGGCCATTGGTCCTCTGGAACAAGCGGTCATCAACCCTCACGGAGGGCTGGCCATCGGTCCTCAGCAGGTGGCATTCAACAACCCTCTGGGAGGGCCAGCCATCGGTCCTCAGCAGGGGGCGTTCAACAACCCTCTGGGAGGGCCAGCCACCGGCCCTCAGCAAGAGGCGGTCATCGGCCCCCAGGGAGGGCCGGCCATCGGGCCTCAGCAGGGGGCATTCAACAACCCTCTGGGAGGAGGAGCCTTCAGCCCTCAGCAGGGGGCATTCAACAACACCCTGGGAGGAGTAGCCTTTGGCCCTCAGCAGGGGCCTTTCAACACCCCCCTGGGAGGAGTAGCCTTCGGCCCTCTGGGAGGCATCGTCATCGGCCCCCTGGCACAGGTGATCATCGACCCTCTGGGCCGGGTGACCATCGGCCCTCTGGTAGAGGTGTTTGTCAGCCCTCTGGCACAGGTGGTCATTAGCCCTCTGGCACAGGTGGTCATCGGCCCTCTGCAATAGTTGGCACTGGCCCTCTGGGAAAGTTGGTCGTTGGTCCTCGTGGTCATCAGCCCTCTGGAAGACATGGTCATCAGCCCTCTGGAATAGGTGGTCATCGGCTCTCTGGGTGAAGTGGTCATTGGCCCCCTGGGAGAGGTGGTTATTGACCCTCTGGCAGAGGTGGTCATCAGCCCTCTGGCAGAGGTGGTCATCAACCCTCGGCCAAGAACTGCTCCAGCGAGGCCCGCCTCCAGTTGTTTGCTCCTGCGGGCGCATAGCAGCTTTCCCTTCTGAAGCCCCCTGAGGGACTGAAGCAGTGGGGGCCTGTGGGTGAGTCTGCAAAAGCAGGATGTGGAAAGAGCTAGAAGGAGACTAATTAACTCAAATAGTAAAGAACAGTCTTCACAAGGAAGAAAAGAAAGTCATGCCGAGCACTGTAAAAATGCAGCTGAAGGTGGAAAGAGCCAGGCTAAGAATAAAATGAAGGAACTGAGTTGAGCCAGAGGTGTCAGAAGGGCGAGGAAAGGCACCCTGAGACCCAGATCTCTAAAACAAGAGCCAAACGCCAGAGGTTCCAGGGGCAGGCCACCGCCGAGATGATGAGTTGACATCAGTGCCTTCCAACTCCGGCGGCCCCATGAACCATTGAGAAGCTTGGGAGGGGAGACGGGGGCGGAGAGTAACACCCCCCCACCCACGGCTATGCCCAGCTGTACTGGAAACGTCACCGCCTCACACCTGCAAGGTTGGGTGTATGCTCAGCTCTTCCCTTCTCTGGGAATCGTTTGAGACCTTTAGATGTAGCGGCTCAGAGAGTGCCCCATCCAGATGGATTCCAGGATGCTGCCACCGCAGGGGCGCGAACAGTGGGTGGAGCGAGGTGGCGCTCACAGCTAGCGCTGAGTGTGCTCGCTGAACCCACAGATGCAGCGCACTGTTCACCTGGGCGGAAAAAGACTTCTGCCAAACTTGTTCCAGACGCCTTATCCATTCACCTCGATAAGTGATTCCCAACTTGTGTGGATCAAAGGACCGAGGTTGTGATTTTTCATTTCCCATCTGCATGCATTGATACTGTCATCCAATGGAACAAAAACGCAAAACTGGAACATCGACTCGAAGCCCTCCCCCGCCACTGCCGAAAACAATGGAACTTGGGCTTGAGTCCTGCCTTGGAAATTTGCCTCGCTGTGTTACCTTCAACAAGTCACTTCTTAAATGTGCCCCTTGTGAATTGTGATGGATGTATCTGGTCTTGACCCATAACCGGAAACCTGAGACTCCAGCTCGAGACAGGAACTGCAGGTGAAGGCGGAGTTGTAAGTGAAAGAGAAGCTACAGATTCCAAAGATTCTACAAAGGTGAGTCTTCACATGGGGCCCAAGCTACACTGCCATGATATTCCACCTCCAGAGTATTCCAGGGACAGGAGAAATAGGAGCACATGCACTCACACTCAGGAAGCTTGAGGCTTCAACCACAGTACTTATTTGGCCAATAGGGGGAATGGTTGGACACAAGGGTCCAAGCAGGGACTCCCCAAGCCCCTCCCAGGCAATGCCGAGGGGCTCCAGCACTGTTCCCGGCCATGCCAGAGGGACCATTTGGAGCCAGGAATGAACCAGGGTTGACCCCACTCAGGGCCAGCACCTTAACTTCTGTCCTATTCTCTGGCTCCTGAAAGGTCCCTTAACCAAACTCCTCATACTGTGATTTCCAGAAAACTCTAGTCAGAAAGTGCAAATGGTCATCCGGGCCATCTGATTAAACATGAACTATGTTGCTGTGTGTGCTAAGTATCCAGGCCCCAATGTACAGAGTGATTGGGGCATGGTGGTAGGCACTGAAGATATTTTCCACAGTGTGCTGCTTTGATATAAACTACCAAGGTCTTGGTAGTTTATATTAGGTAGTACCTAATGTCTTAGTGCTCTCTCTCCTCTAGGGACACGCGTGTGCTCCACCCAGACTGTGTTCTTCTTCAAAAGTATACTTGAAATAGAGAGAGAAGTGGGGATACCAGGTCAGAGTCACTGTGGAAAATAACCCAAACATAACCATCTCATTGTGTACAAAGAGGAGCTGGACTTCAGGAAACACCTAGCTGGCACAGTGTCAGAGCAAACCAGCACCCAGGCTGCTGACCCCACAATTTTAGTCAACCAAAGCAGTACAAAAGTTTTACACAAGGCAAGGATGTCTGTAAAGAACTATGTTCATTCCTTCATGCCTGGGTAGGCAATTTTGTGCACATTTGTTTGCATAAATGTCCACTGGATTTATTGGATTATCAACGTAGCAAAAAAACAATTTTATGAAGTGGCATAAGATTGCTGTGTTATTCCCTATGACTGTCCTAACAAATGACTGTAAATTTGGTGACTTAAAACAACAGAAATGTATTATCTCACAGTGCTGGTAGCCTGAGATTCTGGATAATATTTTTTCCTTGTTTCCTCCAGCTTTTGATTGTCCGTGGCATTATGCTCATGTGACCATCACTACAATCTCTGCCTCTGTCTTTACAAGATTCATTTTGTGTGTTTGTGTGACCAAGTTTCCCTATCTTTTCTCCTACTGATGTCACCCATTGGTTTGTAGGGTGCATCCTAATGCAGAAGTATCACATCTCAAGATCTTTCATATCTTCTGCAAAGATTGTACACCAAAATAGGATGACATCCTTAGATTCTTGGTAGATATAAAATTCTGGGAAACATTATTCAATCTACCACAGTTGGCAGCATTCATTTTGGTTTAATAAAGATACTAATTAAATAAGCCATAGAGAGTGTCATCATTTTTAAAGAAACTATTTTATAATTTTTTGAGCCACACCTGGCAGTGCTCAAGAATTACTCTCAGCGCTCGGGGCTCACTCATGCCCGTGCTCGGCAGATCATGAAGTATCAGGGTTGAACCAGGGTCTCTTTCATGCAAAGCAGGCACTCACTCCAGTAAGCCATCTCTCTGACACTGAAAAAAGATATTTTAGTACAAAGAAGTCAAGTGAATATACTTTTACAAGAAAAAAATCTTACTTGAATCAAGCAATTCAAACTGTGCAAATAGTAATAACATTTTCATGAGTGTTCTTATTTCACTAAAAGCCACAGAAAACTTGGCTGGGACCACTTCTGGAA